GGGAGCAGCGGCCGCAGCAGCAGCAGGAGCAGCAGGGTGCTGCTGCTGCGGGGGTTTGCGGGTGCGTGTGGAGGGGTGCACTAGAGAGTGGGTAAAGAAGTGCGAGGGTAGTGTGTGGCGTTGGGCGCGAGTGATAGCAAAACAATTTCGCTTGTTTTTTGTGTTTCAGCCTGCGCTCCCCCCCCCCCAGCCGGGGCCGCTGCTGCTGCTGCTGCTGCTGCTTCGAAGATGCCGAACCCGCGGGTGTTTTTCGACGTGTCGATCGGCGGAGGCGCCGCGCGGCGCATCGTGATGGAGTTGTTTGCAGATGTGACTCCGAAGACCGCGGAGAACTTCCGGTGTCTGTGCACGGGGGAGAAGGGAGTGGGCCGCAGCGGGAAGCCGCTGCACTACAAGGGCTCCAGCTTCCACCGCATCATCCCCGAGTTCATGCTGCAGGGCGGGGACTTCACGCGGGGCAACGGGACCGGCGGGGGGTCCATTTACGGGGAGAAGTTCGCAGACGAGAACTTCAACCTCCGCCACGACCGCCCCTTCCTCCTCTCCATGGCCAACGCCGGCCCCAACACCAACGGCTCCCAGTTCTTCATCACCACCGTCGTCTGCGACTGGCTCAACGGCAAGCACTGCGTCTTTGGCCAGGTGACTGAGGGGCAGGACGTGGTGAAGGCCATCGAGCAGGTGGGCACGACCAGCGGCAAGCCCAAGCAGCAGGTCACCATAGTCGACTGTGGCCAGCTCTCCTGAGCGGCTGCTGCTGCTGCTGCCTCGCCTGCTGCTGCGGGGGCCGCGGGGGCAGCGAGGGCGCTCGAGGGCTGCGGAGGCGGCAGGGCAGTGCTGGCGACGAGTGCTGCTGCTGCTGCTGCTGAGGCAACGGGCTACTGCTGCAGCAGCCGCTGCTGCTGCAGCCAAGGAGGCGGTACTGGCCGCAGCCGGCCTGCAGCCTCCGGGCTGCGCCCCCCCGCAGATGAATGACGCAGCCAATTTGGGGACAGAATAAATTTGATTTTAAAATTGATTGAAAGACTCTTAACGTCGAAGTCGGGAAACGCAAATCAGATCTTTAGAGGTTTAGAGCCATATTAAGGTCACTTCAGCCCGCAATGGAATAGTGATTTGCTTCAGTGTCTAGACTCCGAATTAGATATAGTATTTGTACTTCATTAGAAATGCATGCATTATTATGTATATGGAAGCGCGGATACGAATGGATATGTTCGTGAATATGTGTAAAAATGTGAATAAAAGTATATATATATAGAAGCTTTGTAGGTTAATGTGTATGTATGTGCCTACGGGTAGAAAAAGATTGTAGTTTAGTATCTGTATGTACTGAAATGCAGATAAAATGACGTCTATGGATGAGTGTACAGGTGCATCTTTACCGGGTGTCTTGCTTCGCGAGTGTGCAAGTATTGAACTATCTGATGTATATATATATATATATATGTATGTATATGCACATTAGTTGTACGTATATTCATATATATACATAAAGATATAATTGGACTCGTATACCTTCCTTTATTTATGCATTTACGTGTGCCTCTTATATTTTCCCGAACTTGAGTAGAAGACTCGAGAGCACCGCGGCTGCGGGCATTTGGTTGTTTGGGAAGGGGCCTTTCTT